CGGCACCAGCAGCAGCAGCGGGGGCGGTCTGGGGGCCCCCGGGGGCCCCCCGAAGCTGCGTCGCCGCATGTGGCAAGAGAGGGGCCCCCTCAGAACTGAGACAGCACGAGGGGCCCCACAGAGACTTTTGCTGCCGCTGCTGTTGCTGCTGCTGCTGCTATTGCTGCTGCTGCTGCTGCCGCCGCTGCTATTGCTGCTGCCGCTGCTGTTGTTGTTACTGCGTACGAGACGGGGGAGATAGTGGGGAAAAGCGGAAGGGAATGGCTCTTCCCTGGGCACCTTAAACCCTAAACCCTAAACCCTAAACCCTAAACCTTAAACCTTAAACCCTAAGTCTTAAACCTTAACCTCAGGCAGAGGCACTGAGCGCTGCGCAATAAACCTAAACCCTAAACCCTAAACCCTAGCCCCCCATCGAAGAGATAGCGGGAGCAGGAGACAAGAAATCTGGCCCCAAAGAAGCCTCAAACCCTAAACCCTAAACCCTAAACCCTTGAAATAGGCAGCCACAGGCTCACCTAACTGTCACCTGGGGCCCCAACGTGCAAGGGAGCACAGGGGGCCCCTAGGGGCCCCTGGGGGGCCCCTGTGTCCTGGGGGCCCCTTGTCTTGGGGGCCCCAAGCTAGGGGACCCTACGGGCTTTTTGCTGGGTGGAACTCCAAATTAAATTATTTATAAATTTATTTTCAATTTTATTATTTTGCTTTTATTGAAGTTTCAAATAAGCTGCAAGACTTCAGCGGCGGGGGCTCCGTGAGGCCAGCTGCTCTGAGCAGCAGCAGCTGCAGAAGCAGCAGCGGCAAGCAGCAGCAGCAGCAGAGGCAGCAGCAGCAGCAGCAGCAGACCACGGGCTTGCTATGGGTGCTCGCAGCCCACTGGATGTAGCCCCTTTACTCTGTCTGTTACCTCCACTCCCGCTGCTGCTGCGTTCGCTGCTGCTGCTGCTGCGTTCGCTGCTGCTGCTGCTGCTGCTGCTGCTGCTGCTGCCTTCTCAGTCGCTGCAGCGCAGCAGCAAACCCTGCCAGGGGCCCCCCAGTGCCCCCACTTTCCTCTTCTTTCCAAAAGATTCCTTTGGCACTCTCCAGTCCCGCAGCAGCAGCAGAAGGGCTGCGGGGGGCCCCCCCAGGGGGCCCCTCTGGAGGCCCCAGAATGCCCTTTTGGGGCCCCCCGGGGGGCCTCCTGGGGGGCCCCCTGGGGGCCCCCATCGCAGCTCCCTGAGGCTCTTCCCAGCCCTCACGACAACCTCCGCGAAAACAGCAAGTGCAGCAGCAGCAGCAGCAACCGCAGCAGCAGCAGGAGCAGCAGCAGCAAATGCACTTGCTGCTGTCCGCTGCCCCTCAGATGGGTTCGCCTATTTGCTGCCTGTCCTACAAGATATTGCCACAGCTGTAGGGTCCCCCTCAAGGGGCCCCCCTGGGGGCCCCTCTGGGGGCCCCCCTGGGATCCACCCCTGGAGCCCCACCGGGGGGCCCCCTGGGGGCCCCTCTGGGGGCCCCCAGGGTTTATCTGATGCTGGGGGGCCCCCTGGAGGCGGCGCGCTGGAGAGGCCCCCGGGGGGCCCCCCTGGGGGGCCCCCGGGGGGGCCCCC